CCACCTCATGCTCAAGTAACTTCCCACAAGGGTCCACAATATGAAAGGTCTTCAGATGAAACTAACCAATTTAGTTAATATAAGGCTAATGCTTAGCTAGGCAAGTGATGCAAATATCTCTTTAAGACTTCAAATTCACATAGGTTGAAGATTTGGTCACATGCGATGTAAAATATCGCTGGAATGTATTTCCAAAGATTTCTTTCATTTTCTATGCCTTTGCTCTCAGATGCCTATGCAAGGTTCTGGTTTATGTGACTCACATTTGGAAATGGCACGTTATATACTTGTTTCTCAATAAATGTAATTCCTACAGTCTTAAATTCTGAGGCTTAATGTCTGGTGAACGTGACTCTGGATCTAGGAGCCCAGATTCTCCTGAAGTATCCTTACACCAGCAGTTCAGACTACAGAGGCTTTTCTCAAGGACTAGCATATTTCAAAGCAAAAGTTGGCTTAACAGGCTTGTCTGGGAGGGGTAGAGCTGCAGTGACAGCTGTGTCGTGGCTTGGCAGCGAAGCCAAGGGCCTGCCGAGAGGAGGTGGTGGCATTAGGGGTGTCCTGGTGAGGAAACACTGTCTGGAACCAGCAGCACACGGAGACAGCAAGAGAAACAAGTCACCCGTGAGATGGTTGGTGTTAGGGGATGTTTCTCAGCAGGTTGAATGTGAAGGACACTGACAGCACTCCAGCTTGAGCTGGTGAAAACACCAGCTTTGTTTTTCAGTCACAAAAAGTCATGAGTTTATAGGATACAGTTTGCTTCTCTCTTACAAAGAAAGACCGGTGTAATATCACATGACTGAGGTGAGGTAACTGCCCACAAATGGGTTCTTTCAACAGCCAGGACAACAGTCCACATGTCACTTGTTCCATGCACCCTGCCTATGGCCTGTAGGGTTGCATGGGACTTGGCTCTAAGTGCTATGTGCATATATCAACTGTAATCCCTAAGACAGGAATTTGAAAGGTGTTCTGATATAGGAACATCTTCGGTTGACATCTCACTTCCTAGAGTTTTTACTGTTTTCAAGAGTCTCATACCTGCTCCTAGCAATGATTTCAAAATACATTAAAAAAACTATTTACATATGCAGCAGTGCGTCGCTTGTTTATCTTCTCTGAAATATATATGAGGTTGTGCAAATTCTTGCACAAGTCTCTGCATTTGTGCCTGACTAACAGTTGCCTTACAGCAATTTAAAGTTAACCAATGCTAGGCATAGGGGTAGTCTCATCTCTTCATCATTTGCAGAATTGGTAATGCACTGCTTACAACAAGACTAATCACCAGTTTTATTAAGCACTTTAATTACAGAATTATATTCAAAGGCCATTAAACACTAAGGTTAAGATAAAACACCAAAACTCTCCTAATGTAGCCAGCTGTGATATTTTGTCTAATTTAAATGGAAGAGATTTAGCTTTGTTGGCCTATTATTCCTTTTCAAATAACATCATTCAGCTTCTGCAGGAAGAAGCTGCCACTAATGCCTAGAAATGGCCTGAAATGGAAAAAAAAAGTTCATTTTTCAATTTCTCTTTAATTGACGTTTTATTTCACTGTATTAGATGATATTACCCACATTTTGAGCCAGAAAGAACAAAATACGTTCTCTAAAATCAAAAAGCAAACTAACAGTATCCATTCCCTCCAAATGGTCTGCTCCCCCAGAGAACTTTCTTTGACAGTATGTGGAGCTTCAGCTACATACAAAGAATTGTTCAGATGATTTGATCATTGTTCTTAAAACTGCAGCGTTTCATTTGGTTTCTTTCAATGTAGAAACTGCTTGGCATGAAGGCTTTATATGAGTGCTGGGGTGAGCTCTATTGTTGACCAAACAATTGGCAGAACAAAGAGTGGTTGCATACTGATCTGGCATAGCACAAAGGGAGCAACAGCCCTGGGATCCTCACAAAAAAAAAAAAAGGGGGGGGGGGAGATGTTCTCTAGCTTTCCTCTATATTATCGGTTAATTAACTGCTTTAATTATAAAAACCCCCTTGATTTTGAGGTGAGGCTGAGTGTAACCTATCTCTTTACTAGTGGAAAATTATATGTACAACTCACTAGATCACAAAATGAGCATTCCAGAATTTCTTTTTTTAGAGTATCAGATATTAAGTTCCTATGTAAAGATGTCTACCCACTGGTTACAAAACAATAAATAAAAACACTAACAACATAAAAACTCTTGCCCATTCATGGCCTTATTCTGTTGACATGCATCTGATGAAAACTCTGTATTTGCCAGAAAATGAAACGGAAAACTGCCTTTGCTTTGGCAAATCACTGGCTGGCTCAAGTGCTTTTCCTGAATTAATCTATCAATTGAAGATGGAAAAGATGGGAGATCTTGCCACCAAAACCGACATGTATGAGCTCTGTCTGTGTGTGTTCTGCAAGGCAGAAAAGCTGCAAGTGACTAGCAAGGCTTGGAGTTGCCATGCAGCCCAGCAAAACAGCCCACTGAAAAGGCACGATGACCCACTTTCAACTACTAGCCTTTGCCCACCCTTTGTGGAGTGAGAGGTTCTTCAAAGTTTTTGTTGTTTTCAGCCTTTCACTTCCCATTTCTAAAGGAACAAGGCTGTCTCTCTCTTTCTCCTCTTTTTTTTCTTCCTTTTTTTTTTTTTCTCCATCATGCATGGAGGAAAGAGAGAGTGTTTCTTGAGACATTCTTTGTTTTAATTAATTTTAAAGACAATCTTCCCCTCTTTTCCATTCTTATGGACGTGCTTTGTAAGAATGATGGATCTTGTCATCAACAAAATTATGATATAATTCCTTAAGGAACTCAGTCTGATCAGAGTAATTCATCTATGAAAAACTGTACTTTATTTGTTACTCTTGGCAACTGTGAAGGATAATAGTGTAATACTATACTAAATATTGCCACGTGCAATAGTAAAATACTGTTTCAGTCTCGCCAGCAGCGGTGTGCAAACCCCCTTCTGAGCTCAGGTTTGGATGTCGTGATTTAATCTAAATCTTTTGCTACTCCTTTTTCCAAAACCAACAGAGGTTTAAAGAGAGCTGAATTTTTATTGGAACCATTTGCTCACACTAAGTTGCCAAAATAACTTAGTTAAAACTCATGCTTTTATCTGGGTTAAAGTTGATTCCTGAGCTCCACAGAGGTTGAGGCACTTAGTTTGTCTTCCTCTTTTTCAGTCCACCACGGAGCCTACAGCAGAGCTCTGCCAGATCAGGTTGTGTTTCCTGACTTCTGATCGGCACAGGGGAGCTTGCCCATGTTCATGATTTTGCACAAGTGGTGGAGAAACCCTTCTCACTTCTTTTCCCTGCTATCCATCTGCTACGACAAACATTAAAACAGTTGGCTCCCAGGATTCAGACTAAGCTAGCTGCAGTGGCGAAGCAGTCAAGTCCTGCCGCCGGTGCCGCTACCGCTGGGGTTAGCGTGACATCTCCTCTGCCAAAGAGTGACAGCTGCTGTGAAATGCAACATAGGGTGCTTGTCTCTCTTGGGAAACAAGTGGAAAAACACAAAAAGACAGAATTTCGTGAGCGAGCTAGGAAAAAAAAAAACTTCATTTGATGCTACTTGCTACTGTTAGAATTTCAGATAACTCCAATAAAATGATAATATAGTCACAAACTCCTGCCAAAATATAATGACATTCATAGTAACAAACACTGTAATAACTAAGGAAGTACCTATTTCTTACTGTATACATTTTTGCATGTCGGTATGTGCTTTTTGTAAGTGGGTTAAAACCAATCTTGTGAATTTCAAAACCTTCTCATTGTGAGGGGCTTGGAGTCAAATACCCATTTCTAAATCCATCCTCGGTAGTTAGAATCTGGTTTGGATCCAATAATGAAAGTTTTTTTGTTTGGTTTCTATTCAGTTGCGGCAGAAATGTCATAGGTCAGAATGATATATTAAAGATGCTCTGTGGAAACATGCCTTGATCTGGAATAGATTAAAGTTGGGTTCCAGTGTTATAGTGAAACCAGGGAAAAGATTTGATGGTTCTTATATGTTATATTCTGCTTTCAAGAGATCCTCACACAAAAGACTTCAAATTAATACTTATCTTAAAACAGTACTGCAGTCTTCAGCAGAAATTTTATGAAAAGAGAACTAGAGAAGCAGAAATAAACCATCCTCACTTCTTTTAGATGCAATCCAGACTGAAGACAGTAAGAATGAATGGGAATCAGAAACCAAACCATGCTGAAATACAAAATTCTATGAATTCAAGGTTCTACCTTGTGTCATCACTTGAAAATATCTCTTATCTAGTGGTGCCACTCTATATTTCTGCTTGCATTACAAAAAGATACAGCCTAGAGATACAAAAGATACAGCCTACAGTCTTTGAACATGTGTTTTTTTTTTTGAGGCTAAGTAAGACATAGCATTTTTTGCTTCTTTGCCTTGTGCTGCAGCAATGTAATATACTGTACATCTTGAGGTGATTACTGGTTTGTCACTGGTTTGACAAAATTTCAGAAACCTTTATTTACAGCTGATTGATAAGTATTTGTCCCAATTTCATTTCTTTTTCTAAAGATTTCTTTTTCTAAATCAGAAAGCAATCTTAAATAAAAAATATAGGGAGACTCATATAAAGCAGAAATTTGAAAACACTGTCCTGTCATTTTTAATCAAGATGGTCAGCAATCCTAAATGAGAACACGGGCTGAATCTGATAACTGCTACAGCTTCAACTCTAGGCTATTCTAGCTACAAAAGCTATATTAACTATAGAAGAAAAAAAATTAAAACACCTGATACACTTAGTTTTCTTCCAGCACTGTACAATGTAGGGCTGAAAGGGCCTAGCAGGATCTGGTGGCTATCATTCAGTGGCTGCCATTTTTATTTTTAGTAATTTTAAGAGCTTTTCTTTATTGAAGAGAGGACAGGCTCTTTTTGTTTTTTTTTTCAAATGAAAGACTCAAAGCTAAACAGAATCAAAATGACAAAAATCTTTAAGCCATTGATGGTAAAGAAGTGGCTCACCCTTATAACCAGCTGCATTGGTTTTCCAGTCATTAGCATTCAGATGTCCTGCACGTGAAGTCCTTACAATAATATGCTGTATGTCTCTCCAGGTCAGAAATGGACTATGGAAAAAGGGAAAGACAAAGCGAAAAATCAGACATATTCTGTACAAATGGAAAGATAAAAGGTCATGCAAGCTAAAAAGTATCCAAACCAAACAATTCTAAGTTCCTTTCCCTATGCTCCCTTCAAAATAATGTTCTAATTTTACAGCAAGACAGTATCCAACCATTAAGTTTTGCATTAAGCAGGCTATAATGATACACAAGTAGTATTCCACTATAAGAAACTTCTAATGCTTTGCTAAGCAAAGGAAGATAAAGGAGTATATTTCATCCAGATGTAATTTGTATGATCATCAACTGTTGTACATGGTTACCTACCTTGACCAAAGAGAAAAAAAAAGCCAAATGATGGCTCACTGAAAAACTCTACTAAATCTTAGTAATTACATCTTCAAGCTGGGAATTTCAACTGGCAAATTCAATGAAAGTTTCAATTTCTAATTCGAATGTCTCGGTTGTTATTCCCTTGAATATTACCTTGAGCCTTGGAATTCACTGTAGCTGTGAACACCAAATCTGAATAGTTACACAAGAAGTGTTTGATAGGACAGATGTAAATTACTTTAACAGAGTATTAATAACCTGTCTGCTGGGACAGCGTAAGACAATGCTGTTTGCACCCTCAAAATACAGTTACTACCTATTTATCTTGCAGAAATTGAGGAAATCTGTAGGGAGTGTAGTTTTCTTACTGCTCTTGGATCCACGGTCAAACATCCCAAGGAGAATTACTTTTTTTAAAAGGCCATTTAAAGGAGTATGGCCATAGTAGGGGGCTTTTAAATTTGTTCCAATTTCTCAGTGTTTTTCATCATTTGGTAGCACATGGAGAAGAAGAGCATTCCATTTAAACAATCAGTTAGTGGAGAGAATGGAATGGGTGACTGAATAGCTGGGAGGAAATGAGCACTGCAGCTCACACGCTAGAGCCCCCAGCCACTCAGCATCGTGCTCCAAGGATCACTGAAGTGTCATTATCTGCCTGTGCTGTGCTCAACAGCACAGCTCCATTCAGCTGTAAGGACGAGGACAGACCAGAATGAAATTTATCAGGCTCGTGTTGTTTGTCTACACTGCCCAGAACTAAGAAGTCATGGAAACCCCGGAAGAACTTGGTTCAACACCTTAACATTTTCTGTGTCATGCAGAAGGAGAAGACACTAGGGCTGGCAGACAAAAGACTTCTTTCAGGTGCTTGCTTTTAGGGCAGAAGTCATATACTCAGGCACTGCTCTCCTCCTGCATGGCCCTCCTCTGTCCCTGGCTTCATTCACAGCTGGAAATAGTGGGGAAGTATGAGTGTGGGGAAGACCAACCATGACTGATCTGAGTGGGCCCCTTCCTGGAGCAAGGGGGACATTGCTCTGTGCTGTTACACTAATACACGGTCAGATCACTAGAAATTTCAATGAGAAATATCTTTGGGAAGCAGCCACAGAGCAAAAGGAATCTTCCAGAAATATCTGATTCTTCTATGGGCTGACAGGGAAAGAAAAAAGAAAATTTCATTCATTTCCCTGTTGCATGTGCTAAATGTTGTACAGGTTGCCTCCTTTCCCCAGCAGTGTTTTATATCTTCCAGATTTTTTTTTTTCCAAAATTCGTGGGAATACTTGAGGAATCAGTGTTGTATGGTGTTTAACTACGGAAGCAGTGTCTTCCCCTATGAGAAGAAATCAAGCTAGTGGGAAAAAAAATGAGTGGATGTGATTATGTAATGAAATAACATTACAGAAAGAGTACTTTTTATTTCAAGCTGTGTAAATTCATGTTTTTAGATGATAAATTTTACCTTCCACAAACTAGAATTTTAGAAGACAACAGGGGCACAGAAGTTATTACAAAACTGCAATGAACCTGTTCCTAGGAAATCTTCCCCCTTTCTTATTCGCAGTGATCTTAAGGACAAATATTGATGGGTCTTAACCAAAAGAAGCTTACTTGCCTGGGTAAAATTACAACAAATGAAACAGTTACATTTCAGAACTATGGTACAAAGTTCTATATAATGGAGAAAAACTTGGGATATCACATGACTAATTTTTACACATTTTACTTTTCAGTAACTACATAATCCTTCATCTTGAAATCCAGTATAGAGTTACTTAAAAATGTCAGACTTTTATGCAACTAGGTTGTACAAGACAATTCAAAGTAAGGTACCACAGAGTTTTACCAGACATCCTTTTCTTGCTTCCCTTGCAGTAGTACCATTTTATTTCCAAGGGTATCTTTTTCCTTCACAGAACATTACCCTGGGGATTTTTGTGGTCTATGCTAAGATGATAAACTGGCCTTTGCAGCTACAGTCAGGATATCACAGGAAGTGGAGCTGGAATAATCTGAAGGATAATGATTTATATGTGAATCTCTTATTTCGTGCACAGAGATTTTTTCTGTATTTTCTTTTTAGCTGTATCACTTTGTAACCATTCAGTTCTCCTCCATATCTGTACATAAAACGAATGAGGGTACATTCATGTCTGAATTATTCTTTAAGGAGAAGAGTGAGAGAGGATGCCTATCAGGCCTGAACATTTGTTAATAAATTAATAAGCTCACAGATAAAGGCTTTTCTTTCTTTAAGGTGAAATCTCTCACACTAGCAGCTGGACTATGATGACAGAAGCTGTGTATCTGCTAAGCTGGTTAAAAAAAAAAAAAACCTGCAAAAACGTCATGGAATGTAATGGGCATTAAGAGCTTGTAATGTAGGGTATGCTTGGACAGTCACGTAACATGCCTCAAGAAAAAGAAAAAATCAGTAAAGATCAGGAATTTCACTGGGAGTCTGTGTAAAAACTTAAGAAAACATGTTTCAGGCCTTCAGGAAGACCTCTAGGAATCCCAAGAGCTGCATTCTTTATAATCTGGAATCTAAACAATCTGTTATTCCATAAAGCAAGCTGTCCATGCTCCTGGCGAAAAATAAAGTACTAAAATGCTCCTCTCAACTTTAAAAGGAGAGATTCAAGATACACCACATTCAACTGATTATTTAAAAAGAAATAGAAGATAAAAGATACAGGGATATAGTAGCCTCCACTTAATAGTACTAAACTCTCATAAATTTGCATTAGTTGCTCAGTCAGAAAATGAGATTAGGTTTCAAAAGCAGAGTTTACTTTTAGAAACAAGAAACACAGAACATCCTGAAACTGAACCATTTGCTGTTTTATCTGCCATCCTTATCTAATCATAAAAAATAAGGCAAGAATTTCTGGAGCAGAAAATCTTTGATCAAAAGTCTGATTTCCAGGACATAGAAAACGTATCTGGTTAAATCAATCTGCCTCTCATACCATCTCCACATTTGTCTGCTTATTGCAGAAGTCATGAGATAGATACATTTTGTTCACGTTTTCTTCTTAAGGAATGGTAGTGTGGGAATATTTATATCTAGAGATTTAATAGTATAAGAACAATACTCAAACTGATTTCTGGAACCTACAATCTGAGCTTCATTATACTAAAAATTGGGTTATTGCCAGATTGAAATTTCCTCCCTACAGTAGACACCTCATTTGAAACAAGAGGTTGCAACTGTGTCCATTTTTTTCCAGAAACTGTAACAAAAAAAAAAAAACAAGGCCTGGAATGAAATCAAAATAGCAGATTATTTGGAGAAAGGAGAGGGTTTTTGTTTTTTTTTAAACAGAACAGACAAGCAGCCAATTTTTAAAGCATCTGGAAAAATCAGAGAATTGGTCAAAAATTGTAAAACACCGAAATTGGAACTTAATGAGCAACCAGTTGTTTGCTAGCCATGTGGGCCACAGATCCAGACAAGATGTCATTGACGTTAATTGATTTACCACTTGATTAACCTCAGAAGAAGTAATAGCTAAACATCTTGAAATGAATAAATGCATTAAGAACAGTACTAACTCTGCTTGATAATGGAATGATTTCAAAAAATTTCCTTCCAAGAAAAAAATTTTTCAGTGTCTCATCTGGAATTGCCTTGGGATTGTACATACCAGACAATAATCAAAATCATACTAGAATAAGCAGAAGTGAGAACAATTAGATTCAAAAAATTTGTCTAACAAGCAACAAGTAATGAATGTCATGTCCTCACCAAACTATTTATACTCTGAGGTGCAGGCCTCTCTTTTACAAGCTTCTCAAAATGTTTGTGAAACAACGTATATGAGAAGAAATGAAACAGGACAAGTGCATTAAGTTATACTACAGTAATAGTCATTTCAGATTTAACTGTATCTTTAAACAGAAAAAAAAAATCATTATTCCAGCTGCTCAGAAATAGTAGGTCATTATTTCTGGCCAAATCTGATTTCTTCATTAAACAAGTAGTTTCCTTCATGACAGTGGGGCTAAAAAAAAAAAAAAGGTAAAGAAAAAAAAGTAAAGAATTCAGGCATTTTTCTTTTGTATAATGACCTAAAATAATCATTCAAAATAAATAATTGTTGCAAGGACAATTAGCAAAAATATCACTGAATGCAATAACAATACAAATGGGATCTTATATTTTTTAGCAAAAGGAATAATGATTGCTATATTATCTTCATAACTAGTAGTTTGAGTGTGATGATGATGGTCCATTTGAAAAAATATTTTTTGTCAAAACAGGCAAGGCTGACATGCATTTCTGGAAGAACTTTTCTTTTTTTTTTCAAACAGACAAGAGAAAAAAATACCATTACAGGGTTCCAGGTGGCACTTCTAATTTCTGCAAGTAATTTCTGATTCCCTTTCACTGACTGAGAGCCTTTTGAAAGAAAGCCAGGACAAACTCAAGTTTGGCAGAAGATAAGCTTTGCTCAAAAAAACACAGTGGCAGTTGAAAATACCGTAAGAGAAAAGTCAATTATTAGCAGTATTAAGGACATGTGCAATGGACCTCTCTCTAAAGAGACATGTAGTTAATGATATTTGGGGAAAATATCTTCATAGACTCAAAACTGCTCTTGGTGACCTTTTACATTAATTGCTGTATTTCTACTCTTTTTCTATCTGCATCTTAATTGAAG